ATGGTGATTAAATAGCTAGTTAAAACTTCTCCCCAATATTATTTTGGTATTTGATTTTGCTGGAGAAGTAACCTAGTTACCTCCAAAAGATGATTTTTTCTTTTTGCCATTCAATTTTATTGAATTGTCAGGCCAGTAAGATTGATGAATAATATACTTTTTTAAGAATGATACAATGTGTGATTAAAATAATCACGAGTATTATCTGTCTGAAGAAGTTGTATTTTAGAGTTCAATTGATTTTTATCACGATAGTGAGTATAGGGAGTGTAGTGAGAACATAAGATTTTTGTTTTATGAAATATACTAATGTCATTCAATTGCAGTCTTCAATAAACATAACAAAATCAGTTATTCCAGAGATATTGGAGATTTTAGAGGGTCCCCATATTTCAAAATGAATAAATACAAAAGCACTAGAGGATCTAAAGTTATTTTCAGAAAAAAAAAATGGTGATATTAAGCAATTTCGCAAGTTTCACAATAAAAGTTTTTAATGTTGGAAACATATACTGAAGATTTCTGAAAGAAGAATGTGCTAATGCATAATGATGAGGTCAAATATTGTTTGTAATATGAGAGATGGAGTATGATATTTGACCCTGATCTTTGAGATGGAATAACCCATCATTTGCTCTAGCTTGCTCAATTATATTCCTCGTAGTGAAATTCTAGAAGACATTTAGGTGTGGTATTTGGTAAATTTGTGAATTGATAAAAGGTTAAGTGCAATGTGTGAGATATGTAATACATTACTAAGGATTAAGTTTGGAAAAATTTAGATGTCTCCCTATCCTGTAACAAATTTTAAAGATCCATCAGCAATTTGATTTTATTGCTAGGACAATGTTTTTAAGTTTGAAATATATTGACAAACTTTGTCATGTTGTCGATGGCCCTTGAATCTAAGATCCATATAGGAGAACTATTAGAGGGAATAATAACATAAGAATTTGAAATCATATGATTTTGAGCAAGAAAGCAAGATCCTAATAGTTTTCGGTCTGACATTTTTTGTTGCAGTGGTTGCACCAGAGATTTTTTTTTTTTGAAAAAATGATGCCCTTTTGGAGAAGGTTTTGTGAGAGAAAATCACTTAAAGATTTGTAAGTCATCATGGTAGATATCTCGGAGTTGGATTATTAATCATCATCATTCTTCTTCCTTCTTTTGCTCAAACAACATACTTCATTCAAAGAAGAATTTTCTCTGCCTAAGACTTGAACTATTAAGTGCCATATTTTCTTTTAATTCTAATAAATTAAGATCATCTCTTATACAACATGCACAAATCTTTTTAGGTCTACCTCTACCCTTCTTATCATAATTCGAATTTAAAACATCTACTCTCATATCTAAATAATCAGATGATTGACATTTAATGTGACCAAAACATCTAAAGACGACTCTCTAATTTTGACTGTTACTAGAGCTATGCCAACCCTCTCACAGATACATGCGTTTTGCTTTTTTTCTCTAAATGTCATGCCACTCATCCACCAAAGCATTCTCATCTCAACAACACTTAACTTAGTTTTATGTTTTTCTTTTATATACCAACATTTTGCACCATAAAGCATTGCAAGTTTCATTGTCATCTTATAAAATTTTCCTTTAAGTCTAGGCGGTACTTTTCTATCACACACTAGGCCAGATGTGTTCCTTCACTTCAACCATCTAACTTCAATTCTACTAATAACATCCCCATTTATATCGTCATCACTTTGAACAATAGACCCGAGATATCTAAAACGTTCGCTTTTTTTAATGATTTGATACCCATTGTTACAACTGTACCACTAGACCTACTACTACTAAAATTACATTCCATGTATTCAGTTTTAGATCTACTCAAATGAAGGCCTTTAAACTCTAATGTGGACCTCCTTAATTTAAGTTTTTCTTGAACTCTTTCTCTAGTCTTATCCACAAGAATGATATCATCAGTGAAAAGAATACGCAATGGTACATCCTCTTGTAAATGTCGAGTAAGAATATCCATAACTAAAGCAAAAAGATATGGGCTTAAAGATGATCCCTGTAGCAATCCAACTGAAAGAGGAAAATCAATCCTCCTCTTTTTCATTTGGTGGGAAATTCTCCTCCTTTCTATTTTCGTTTCCCGCCCATCAATCTCCTATTTATATGTGTCTGTGGTATAGGTTTTCAGTTTATTTTATTTCTGATTTAAAATTTGTGAGGACAGCCGCCGGTTTTCTAGTTTCCATTTGAGGGCTGTATCCGACGGTTAGGATAGTGCTTCCGCTATATCCCTCTCCTGGTGGTGATTGTATATTTCTTCCTTTGCTCACATCCTCCCTCCCCAGCTAGCTGCCTTCTTCCAGCACTAGGCCAGATGCATTCCTCTCCCGTGACATTGCTGACATTCCTCCCTCTCGTGAAACCCAACCGCAGCCTTTCCTCCCTCTCCTGTAACCTGGCTGGCATTCCTCTCTCTCCTGTACCCCTCCAACAGGCCTTTCCCTTCCCGCCGCCTCTTCCCCACTCCTGTAACTTTACTGTCCAGCCGCCAAGCCCAAAATCTTCCCTCCTGTTGAGCCGCTGGCCCCCAGGAAATTGTTGTAGTTGATTCCTGAATACCTGCTGTAGCCAGGAACCTCCCCTCTTCCCTGCTATTCCGTAACACCATCTAGGGACGACTCCTGCTACAGTTTTATCCCTCCCCACTCTCAGGTGTTGTCACAGGACTCTTATACTTCCTAATTCTGCTAGTACCATAACCCTCTCCACCCACACCTTCTACGCCCTCCTCTCCAATCCCTACCTGTAGTTGCTACAAATCCTTTTCCAGCCCCACTTGCCACTGCTGCATGCCTCGGGTCAGCATCTTACCTGATGCCCATTCACTGCTCTTCCTTCGCCGCCACCCTAGGGTCTCCTTTTATGTTTGTTGTCATTTATTTCGTGTTGAAGAATCATTGCATCCGATTTCAATTTCAGCAATAATATTTGTGTTTTATTGTGGTTCTGGCTTTTTTCTCCGATATGATTAGTTATGCTTATATAAGGATAATATAGCTTGATATTATATGTATTTAATTTTATTTTGCTTTTCTTAACTAACAATTTTAAGTCAAACAAATCATAAGATTTATACAGTACTACACAAGTAAATTGGGTTGGCTAAACTGTATGATTTGTTATTTAAGCATTTTTTTTAACATCATTTATGTAAATTCCTCTTTAGTAAGGAACCATTTATACATACACTCATGAGAAGTAATAAAAATGTTGCATTTTCTGTAATAAAGCACTAGAACGCTTATGCACACAAATGTAAAACAATTATGATTTAATTGCTTGGTAATTTGTTATTTTTTTAAAATTTAATATTTAAAATTCTAACCTCTTTTTCTTCTAGACTAAATGAAGTCCACTTTGATTTTTACAAACATTTCCTGAAACCTTTTAATAATTTCTATTAAATCCGATAAAGTTAAAATTATCGATCTAATTAGGTTGGGTGGGGAGGGATGAACAACAAAGATTCATAGGAGATTCCATTTTGTTGGTGTAGGGACGATTTGATGGATTAGCACCCAGATGCAAATTGCATTGTGCTAGTTGTATTTTTCAGGTTGATCAATGGCAATGAAAAGAGTTAGGCTGGACATGAACACGGGTGAGTTGGTTTTAGCTCTAGTAAGGTGTAGAGGAAGGTGAACTATCTAACTGAAAAGGAACACTTCTGATAATTTTTTGAATGAGCTTAGTGTTAGACCTATGTCGAAAATGGATTGAGGCGATTTGGTTGTATGATGAAGTTTAGAAATTGTGCTCACTAAATGAGAAGTTAAAATTAGTTTCAAAGTATTAGGAAGTAAAAAAGATTGATCTAGTACTATGTTGATAAAGTTTTTCAAAATGATTTGTGAAATGTATAGATTAAGCACCCAAAACAACAATTGATAGGAACAAACAAAAATAAGGATGCATGATGTTGACCTCAAATTGTTGAGGTAAGATTAATGATGATGTTCATTCAACATATTTTTTTTTTTTTTTAATGGAAAAATTTTCAAAAATTATTACATATCTCTTCGTCAAAATTCACAAACTAGAACTTTTCATGAACCTTTTTGTTGGTAGACAAGTTGAGTTTTATTTTTTGGATCAAAGAATAAAAATTCTATAGATATTTGGTTGATAATTTTACCTAGAATGTGATTTTATTTTTCATTGAGAGTCTTTGTAAGGAGAAATGACAAATACATTTGTTTTTTTTTTCCTATTTATTGGTAAATATCTGTCTTCAAGTTCCATTGGATTGGCATTATTCTCATAATGGTTGTCATTGTGGTTTTTATTGTTCCAAAAAACCTGAATTCCATTGGATTGACAGTTCTAAAATTTTCCATGGTATCCTTCTAGGATATTAGATAGACATATGGGTCATTGTAGTATTTTAATATTGTTTTCTTTTAAAATTCACAATCTATAACTCCATATTGGTGTATCTTCCTTAAACTTTTCATAGGCGGTTTCTTTGTATCAGGTGACATACCCCTGCCTTCTTTTAAGATAAATTCCACCCATCTTTCCAACCCTAGGTGCAAACATTTTGTGACCTAAGGGCTCTGCTTAAAATGGAGAGGGATATTTTTTTGGCATTAAACAATGTCGATTTTCTGATGGTCTATCTATAAAACATGGGAAGCCTCAAAACTTTTTAGAATTTGATTATAAATGTCCGTATGGGCTGCATTTGACAAAGTATAGTATTCATATGAAACTTTTGATGTCTGTGCCATAACTAGCAATTTAGTGACCAATTTCTTGTAGAGCTTGGACTTAAATATTAGTTCAACTTATCAGTTTGTATTGGCTTGTTTGATGCTGTCTTATTCGTTGCTTTGATATATGTGCTCTGTTTGCAGGATGCTTAGCTCTTTAGGTTCTTCTACTGATGTTGTTTTACTATTGTCAGTAACTTAAAGTTATTGTTTGCCTACTTCTACGTTAATCAGAAATTTTTGCAGGAGCATGTTCATTCCCTGCTTAATGTTACTAGTGACCTTCCGGACAATGAATTAATTCTTCAGAAACATTTTGTTGCCATACTATCTTCAGTATGGAGGGAAACATGCCGCCACGAGCGAAGTCAGACTATGTTATCTTCTCGAACCGGTTATCACTTAAAGCTTTCCACTTATTCTCCAATTAAGAAGCCCGGCATGGATCTGGCAAACCTAAGACATTCTAAGAAGCTGGTAATGGCTGCACTCAATGATGTCAATGTGAGACATCATGAACAAGTGGAAGTTTTACCCATGCAAGAGGCTCCTATTTTGCTTGACAAGTTAGAGTTAACATTGGACTTATCATCTGCAAAGAAAGCATGTTCTGAAGTTATGATTCCATCATCAATTAATGTTTCAATACACGTGTTTGAACAAAAGCAGTGTGCTGAACCTAATGGGACTAACTTGATCAAACCTATTTCGAAAATTACTGAGAACAGATTCAGGTAAGCACATTCTAATTTAATTGAGCTTCAGATTTGGTTGCCAACCATGAGAAATGGATTTTGTCATCATTGAAGCTGTGCCTTAACTGCAGAATTCACGAACCACAGTTAAACAGGAGATAAACTGTGAATCTGTGATAGATAGATAGCTTTTTTATTTATTTTATTTATTTATTTATATATTTAAGATGAAATGTTATTCAATCACTATGACTTTAGTCCTGTTATAATGTATATGTGTTTTTTTTTTCTTATATTCAGTTTCAAATCTATTCTTTAAGACCACATATCAAATTTGCTGCCAAAGTGATCATGATTCAATTTGTGTTGAGTTTGGCAATTTTAAAGAGAGTTTGTTGATAGTAAATGTCATATGTTTGGTGTATCTTTTTGTGAAAATTAAATCCTTAAATTTATCGCACTCTCATTTATTTTATATTTGATTGAAAATATCATCCACCTAATTGTTTTCTTAATGAAATTTTTCAAATTTCCTATATACCATCATTTTCAATAGCCTAGATTTCTTCCATGACAACTTTCTTGCACTAGGGATTTTGAAAGTTTTATGACTATTTTTTTAGGAATTTATATTTTATCAAGAGAAGTGATAAAGAGGCATGAAATCCCGTGGAAAGCATCATATGCCTAATAAATTGATGGATCAATATCATTATATGTGGATTTTTTTAATCAATTTGTACTGTATTGGTCCGTGAATTATCTTCGGATTATTTGGTGCATTGGAGATATATATTGATAGCTCTTCTTTCTGTTTTTTTTCCCCGTTATACGTGCACAAAGTGATGAAGGAATTTATGGCTTTGATGAGGCTTTATTATGTTAGATGTACTGACAATGTGATGAGGGTATTTGTAGTTTTAGTAGTGCTTTGATATGTTGGATGTATGATAAGGTGGCAAGGGAATTTGTAGTTTTAGTAAGGCTTTGATAGGTTGAACGAGAAGCATTGAGAAATGTCTATTGTTCACGGGCTTGGTAAGGTAGTATGGTGGATGATCAAAAAAGTTCCAACCCTGCTTATTATTGAATTTTTTTCTCATGAATTTTGGCTTTGTTGAAGCAATAAGAATGGTGTTCAAGGAAGGTTCCATTGACTGACTTAAAAATTTTTCTAGTGATCGAAGACCAACATTTGTATCAATTTTTATTTTTTTAGTATCTTATAAAGATAGCCTCGAAGGATTTAGTCTAATTTGCTTTGGTGCTGAAAATAAATGTGAATAATGATTGTAGACTAAAAGATGTTTGGTGGAAGAAAATAATAATGTTTGTTATGGAAATTAAAAGAGCAAGGAATTTGAACAGGGGTTTGAAATTTAAGTACTCTTGAGGGTGTTCTATTAATGAGATATTTAGCTATTAAAATGACTTCTTAGAGACATTGAAGAATATTTTGTGGGGATTGATTGAGATTTAGCCATCTCTAAGTGGTATTTATTTTTACTTTGAACAATCCCATTTTGTTGAGGTTTACCGACTCATGAATTTTGGTGGATAATTTGTTGATGTATGAGATGAATTCCTAAGACTAAATTCAAAGTGTTATTTAGCATTGTCAGTTCTTAGGATTTGAATTTTAAATTGATATTGAATATGGATCATGGTGTTTAGATGTTAAAAAAGTTATCCCACAAGATTTCTCCTTAATTAAGAAAACACAAGTGAAAAGAGCATTGATTATTGATAAAAACATTTAGCTTTAGCAATATTTTAATTATAGATCGTCTCATGCATCATTCTAGTAGTTTCTTTCTTTTTTTTAGATGCGGGCATCAGTGAGTAACAGAGCTTATTTTGATGATGTTTCGGATTAACTTTCTATTGAGAGAATAGTCGGTTGTTTTTACTTTTTAATTTACCATCCAAATAGTTGAAGAGTGTGTTGTTGCAATCGTTTGTGTTTTTGGCTCCCTTTGGAATTTTTATAGTGTACTATTTTATCATGAATTTTTCATGTTTTGGATTCGGAATTTACTTTTTTTTTTTCAGCATTAGATTTATTCGCTTTCCAGCCACTGTCTTCTTCTTGGCAGGTCTCATTGTCTTCTTTGTAGAAAGATCCTTCACATGTTATCCGTTAGATAAAAACTAGTTTTCAATATTATCTGTTAGTTAGAGGAAGGGCTCCATGTTAGGGAGTAACTTTAAAATATCTAATACCATGTAAAAAATTAAAATTTGAAGAGTAAATTTAAGAAATTTATGACTGAATTTTATTATATTTTTAGTTAAATACATGATAAAAATTATGCATAAATAGGTGAAGCAAGGGAAGAAACAACTATCTGTGAAAGAACACATGTTAAAATCAGTCTTTAAGTGTAGAATCTAGAATTAATTACGGAGAAAGCTGTTTACATACTGGCTGGATTGCTGTAGATTGAAAGAAGTTGTTTGTTGATTATTGTAAATGAAAAATTGTTGCCTACAAATTCTTGGATTTCTATATGGCTACAATTCTTAATTATTTCTTATATGACTTGCTTTCCTAGATATTTCTAATCTTAAAAATTATAATCTGTTACTTCGGAAAAAAAAAAATTGATGCTAGTTATGCTTAGGTGATGTTTTCTGCCGTTTATTCCTTTTTTTCCCTCTTCTGAAATTTATGCTGATGGTTCTTTTTATTCACAACCTATATATATTACTTTCAAGATGAAGGCACCTGATCTTTTAATCTGGACGCTTAGCTACAACAATCTCATGGAAAAGATGACTTAAGGTTTTGCCTGTTGACTAAAAAAATCAGTTATTTCAATTCCATTATCCTTCTTGAAATTGAGGTGGAATCTTCGCATCTTTTGTAGGTTTGATTGTTTCCTCGTGCTGTTTGTGTGATCCTCCTATAGTTTGGTGGAGATCTTAGGCATTTGTAGTTTTCTCCAGATTGTATTTAGATCTTACTGTCGTTTGGTGTGGAATCATGATATTCTTAGGTTGTCATTCTTGATTTGCATAATTTTAGTTGTTTTATGATATATTTTATGCAAAATAAAACATTAAAAGCTTTGTTCTTAGGTTTGAAGCATTAAAAGCTTTGTTCTCGTCTCTTTTTGTTCAGTTTCAGTAATTTTGAATAGAATTTACCATATATTTACTTTTTTTTTCTTTTTTTCTTACATATTTCTCAAAACTTTTGTTTGCATTGTAGTCTAAGGTTTTCGGTTTAGTTGAAGTTTCAACAATGGTATGCTGTTTTTAGTTGCAAAAAAAATTATTCCACTTTACATGTTTCATATCTGGCAGCATTTAACAATGTATCCAAGAAGTTTATTATTTCACGTCATTCCCTTTTTTTATCTTAGATTTTTTTGCAAAGTCAGATTTGTTGTTTAATTTTTCTTTCATATGTTGTATGATTGAATCTTTCATGTATCCTTGGTTTATATACAAGGATTGTGCGGCTCTAATCTGATTTATTGTAAAATGTCACTTTACCTAGCTTTTCCCTTTTATGAAATTCAGTTTCGAAATCAGAAATGGAGATTATTGATCTTCATCTCCGCCATTGAAACATGGTGGAGAAGCTTAAATTTCATAGTTGTTTGATTGCTAATCTTACTGGTTCAAAATCCTTGTTAATCAACAACCTCAGTAATCTGACATGACAAAACTTTATATATGTCCGGCGCATGCACTTTCTATTTTATTTTTTTAATAAAAATCATGCATTTAATTTTGAAATTATATTTCAGAAATAGCTTTCTAGGCATTTATTTAAAACCCGTTCAATTTTTACTGTACTTGCTGAATTGCTAGAATATTTGTGTTTTGTGTTTTTGTTTCTATAAACTTTTCGTATTATCGGATTTTTTTATTTTGGTTTCCCATGATCCAAAGTGATCAGATGAATAATTTCCACCTACTTATTGGATCAAAGCCTTTCTTATTTTTACACACATTTCGTAAAATATAGTTCCATCCTCTGCTGTGCCCCAAAATTTATGTTGATATTAATTTCACCGGTTCTTTATGTCCTTTACGTCACTTACAGGTTGGCTTCACAAACTTGCTTGGAGGGTGAATCCCCACGTTGGGCAACACTTTCTTTCCCTTTTTGTGATGCTCGCAGATCCAGATCAGGCTCAAAGTCTCAGCATCTAGGCAAACATAAAGCCATTTCTGATCCAGCAAGACCGCCAAAATCTAAGGTTCCGAGGACTATGGAAGAATCTGGTTTGCTTGCGAAAGCCATCATGCCATCAACCAGACCGATCATAGAGTTCAACCATTTGGCACTCAGTGTTTCACATGAAGATAACGACATTTTTGGCCCTCATGAGTATGATCCAGAATTACTAGAAGATACACACCTTGTAGATCCTGTACCTCACGAGTATGACCCAGAATTACTCGAGGATTTGGAAGATCTGGATTTGCAACTACATATTGGTGATATTGGATGAGGCTTAAAACTTTCTGTGGGTTCAGTTTTGTCTGAGTGCTTGGGTTCATCAATTGATTCCGTCTAGTTCATTTTTTTCTTTAGTTCATCATTTTTAAGGAATGGATCCAACACCAATTTGCATCGTGCGGCATTCGGGCGGTATGAAGGTGATCATTAAGTTGAGCCGACTCGAATGTAGCTGTTTATTTATACAGAGAATGGTGGAGAATGATCTCTCAAGGTTTAGTTCAATGAATTTACTCTCTCTCGTAAATACGTAGGGGAAAAGCTTGTAATTTTTAACTGTAGTTAACAAGCTTGTAATTTTTAACTATAGTTAGCCTTTTCTCGTGATAATTTTTTCTCTTTAGCTGGGCAGGTATAGCTGTGGGAAAATTTCAGCTGCTCCTGGAGCCTATAATGGAAAAACATTAAAAAAAAGGAATGAATCCATAATATTGTAGCGGTGAGAAGCTAACCTGTTACACTTCCATGTTATTTTTATTGAATCAATCGTTTCTGCTTTTACTTAATATACATACATGTTGTCCCAAGCCCAAGCATTTTATTGACTTGTCTCTTTAAAGTTATTTAGGACTCCAATTGCATTTATTTATTTTTTTTGTAGAGGCTGTAGGCATTGATTTTGATCTTATATATATATATTTATATTTGGAAATTTACATACATACCACACAATTTTTATGTATTTTACATATTTAACACCTCAGTTTGATATTTACACTTAATAACGCCTTGGTGTCTTTAACTTATCCATGAAACGGTGTACTTCACTTTCAAAGAGACAGTGATGGTGGTATTTTTTATATGATGTTAAAGATTTTAGTGTAAATATGAATATTTAGGTGTTGAGTGGCTTTACACTTAGAGACAAAATGTGGAATGAATATATTCGTGATAGGGTTGGTGTAGCTTCTGTGACAGACAAAAGTAGATAATGTCGTCTTAGATGGTTTGATCATATTAAACGTCGACCATTAGATGATCTGATTAGGAGAGTAGATGTTTTAAATTCGACTAGTGTTAAGAAAGGCAGAGGTAGACCTAGGAAGACTTGGGCTTATTGTATTAAAAATGATCTTAATTTACTAGAACTAAATGAAAATATGACACTAAATAGGACGCAATGGAGAAAAAGGATTCATGTAGCTGACCTCACGAATTGGGATTAAGGCTTTGTTGTTGTTGTTGTTGTTGTATGAATATATAGGTGTTGGATATGTAAATACATAAGAATTGTGTGGTATTTATGTAAATGTACCCCTCCACTTTTGTTTTTCGGAAGTGGCATGTTGGATAATTTTGTTCCTAATGATGGCTTTAGGAAAGTGCTGACTTTGAGTCGCACTAATGGATTAGTTATGGAAGCTTTTCAAGTTAATGATCTTAAAATATGAGTAAATAATTCTGTAGTTGTTGGACTGTCGTCAGCATGAGTGATGGGGCTGTTTTGTTGGGGGAAGATTTATTGCAAAGATTTTAATTGGCGAAGTTAGTATTTAGCATTTGATTTGAATTTTGAACTAATTTTTTCGAGGACGGTGGCGGTGGCCGGCAGTGAGGGACAAGGGCGATTAGGCTTGCTAAGGTAGTTTACAGGAACTAAGTTAGTTTACATGAATCGTGTAATTCAAATTCGATCAAATCGGTCGAATTCTTAAGTTAATTTTAAAGAGTGCAATATGAATTTGCTCAACCAAAATCCTAAAAGTTTATGCTTCCAATAAAGAATTTGTGTTTACATGTCTATTTATAATTAAGTTTGCTCAATTTTAAATTATATAAAAAAAATTGGTGAAAATTTGAAAGCAACACTTGTTATTTTCATTTATAAAAAACCAAGTATGTTTTTAAGGATAAAAAAAAAAGAAATATGGGCCAACAAAGAATGTAATCTAAAAAATAAGGGGACTTGATGAGCTGAAAGTAAGATTTATCATTAGTAATTATCTTGTTGAAATTTTTTAGGGCATCGGTTCTTGTATGTTTTGTGAATCCATACAGTTTATATGAAATATTGTGAGATGAATAGAGGAGATGAAGAGAGGACTCAGTTTCGTCCTCTTATCTATTTATATACCCTTAGGGTGTCCTTACCCTCATATAACTAACAAAAAGAGTGAAATAAATAAATGATATAGATCATACAGAGCAGGGCACATGTGAGATTTATTGCTAAAAAGATATTGTTGTGGGTGTCAAGTTACTCATAAATGGGTAAAGACACTGATGGGTTTGAGTTCCCTTGTTTTTGTTGCTTAGCTAACCTTGAAGGGACGAAGAAATGAACTTTACGATGAAGCTTGACAAATATAGGTGAGCTCAATTGAGGAGCTCAAGAAGAATAGACAAGTTGGGTGGATAGAGCTCGATAAGTATGGAAGAGGTAACGGAGGAGCTCGTCAGGTCTTTATGAGAAGTCATTGTAGGAATCACTTTGATGGACGTGTTTGACAAATACTAATGGTTCTAGGTGCATGATGTTGCTTATCTTCCAAAAAGGAGGCTTGAGAAGGCCAAATCCGATAGGCCTAGAAGGCCCATTTACATTAGGCTTCCTTGGTAACTTATGAAAGCCATTTTAGGATGTAAACTTTGTTCCTCGATTATCATAGTTCTTCAACATGATACCACAATAAGAATAAGAGAATGAAAAAAGATTTACCATTTATATGTTTTATTAGACAAACATTGAGATCATAGCAAATACTCCGCTCGGCTAGACATCGATAAGGGACTAAATTATATTTAACCAAAATGGTGCTTTCCACCATCATGAATATGTATTCGCTACAACTTTAAGCAGTAGTCATGAGGACTTACTGCATCTTTCTTTCCTCTGGGGATGTTTTAGCTATATTTGCAAGGAGTAGTCGCGGGGCATCTAAGTAAACGCGAACAAACTCTCTTCTAAGGGTCATTGCATTTTTAGATGGGAAAAACAACTTAGAGTCTATTTAGGGCAACTGTTGATATTTATAATCTGCTGATAAGCAGCTTATTCTGATAGTCTGATAATCTGCAGATTATCAGAATAAGCTGACTTGCTATTTGAGGCAGCTTATTCAAAATAGTTTATTGATAGTTATTGCTTTATAAATGACCTTCTTACCCCTGTCTGATAAAATTGTTTGAAACAAAACTAAAATGATAACGAAAACATATAATGATAAAATTGTTTGAAACAAAACTAAAATGATAACAGAAACATATAATACAGAAGCATATAGTGCAGAAGCATAAAATCATCACAGATCAATTCCAAAAGATGACATACAGTTCTCACACTCTCATGAGTATATAAAAAATAAAGCCACGGATGTTTTATTAAGCATTTGTGTAAGGTTACATAGCACTATAACAGGAACTAAAAACAGAAAGTGCAAGCAATCAAACTGGAGTTATTAAATATAAATGAATTGCTGCAGCAAATACAAGTCATTACATGCCATGGATGTGTCAAGTTACAAGTTGTTGCAACGGGAAAGCTAATCAAACTGCAGCAAGTCAAACTGTTGTTAATCAAAAGGAACAACTAATCAAACTGCAGCTAATACAGAAATTGCTACAGTTTGCATCACAGAAAGTCCTGCGAATTCAATCACAGAAACTGCAGTTAAACAGTAACTGCAGCTAATAGCTTTGCCAATTTGCTTAAAATCGAGGCAAATTCCATCACAAAAACTGCACCAAATTCCATCACAGAAACTACAACTAAGCACAATGTTCCAAATTTTAGCAAATCAAATTGATTAATATGTTTAGAAATGCATTTAGACATGAATATGTTTAGAAATGCAGTTAGACATATTCATAACCATCAGATAGCCTGCATTTCCTTTCCCATTGCCACTATCTTTACTATTGTCATTTCCACTGTCATTGTCATTTGCAACGCCACAACCAATACTATTATCAATATGCTAAAAAGGAAATTGTTATAGCTGCCCTCCACAACTTATCAAATGAAATTTTTTGCCCATTGACGGCCAAAAGAGAGGAAATAGTTGTGTGAAAAAAGAATCCTCTTATTAACAATATGCTAAAAAGGAAACTGCTATAGCTGCCCTCCACAACTTATCAAATGAATTTTTTTGCCCATTGACGGCCAAAAGAGATGAAATAGTTGTGTGAAGAAAGAATCCTCTTATTAACATTATGCACAAAATGATAAAGTTCAAAGTTTATCAGAGAGCAACAGAACCTCATCCGTATCAGTGGGAAAACCCAACTAACATATATTCCAAAAATTATAAAACTATAGGGAAGTGCTTTGATAAACTTTAATTTGTAGCCAAATCATTTTTGCTGTCATGGGCTAGACTTCCCCTCAAGCTTATCCATTCACCAGTATACTACTGAGAATCTCATAAGTTTCTTACAGTGAGAAACTTTCTTCCCCTGTTTAATGTTCGAAGAATGATAAAGCAAATTTCTTGCTTGGACCTCCATAATGAAAACATTCCCATGCAAACTAATGAAAACAATTTCATCAATCTAGGCAAAAATGAAGATGCAGAAACATCGGACCAGAGAAAATGAAACATTTCCAAGGATCGCAACTCATGCCTCATATCTCAACTGGGTTATACCCAAAAACCAATAATATGCTCATATATCATAGAAAAAATAAAGAAAAAATTAAAAAAAAAATTATTGCTTGCATCTACACTTCCCAGAAAAATCATCAGAGAAAAGGAAACTTTCCAAGAATCGTAGCTAGGGAAATCGAAATGATACCTTACGATCAGGAAAGAAAATTGAAAGGAAGATGGTTTGATCTCCTCTAGGGTGATGAACCAGAAAGAAATCCAACGAGGGAGAAGGAGAGGGAGGTCAGGGGTACCTCCGGAATTCCTAGGGCAACGCGGGACGTTAGTGCGGGACACGGGGCTTTACCTGCGTCGAAGCCATATAAAGATTTATGGGTCGCGTTTTGAAAACGCAGCCGCACCCCAATAAGCTGCCCCAAACGGGCCCTTAAGCTCTCTCTTGTCGAGCTACCTTTGGCAAGGTCATATGGTATTGGGTGACAACACACTTACTGCAATCACTAGAAGTTTTTATGCACTAATGAGATGAAAAAGATATTGAAAGGGAAAAAAGTTTGAAACTTCATTGTTATTGAGGATATTATGTTTTTTTACTTCCCCTTTTAGACAAGGAGGTCGAGGGTCTGAACTTTGTTGAGGCAGAAGTGCCTTCAATCAGCTTTGTGGAGGATTCCTCGACTCCAATCCTTGCTCGGGAGATCGATCTGAACAAAGCTGCTAAAAAGAATGAGTCAATAATGGATATGTTGGACCATATTCTCAAGGAGAAAATACTTGTCAACCCAAAAAAATGTTGTGGATGTCCATATTTTTTATTCTATGAACGATAGGAATGGGTTTAAATTATTTTTACTTCCAAAGTTAGCTCATTTAATGAGGCATCGGACTTTTTCTTCCTCACCTTCTTTATCATTATTAATGATATATGTTAGTTGCTGACGGTTTCTTATAGAGTTTTTTGTTGACCAGTGTGACCTATT